TCAACACTTTGAATTTTTTTTGAAAAAAAAATCAAAGGAATTGGTGCTGACTAGACTTTGACCATTGACCGTTGACCATCACTGCCGCCGACCTCCGCCAGCCGCCGCCGACCTCTGCCATCGCCGCCGTCGACCTCCGCCACCGCCGCCGGCGACCTCCGCCGGCCGCCGACGACCACCTCCGCCGCTGCCGACCTCCACCGACGCCGCCGACCACCTCCGCCGCCGCCGGTCTCCGCCGCGCCGCCGCCACTGACCGGTGGTTGACCGGTGTTGCTATTTTATTTTTTATTAATTTTTTAATTTTCAAAATAAAAAAAAGGTGAGTTTTGGTGTTCAAAGTGGTGAGCTTTGCCTTATTTCCAGGTGAACTTTACATTGGCCATTGGTGAGCTTTGCTGTGTAATGTGGTGAGCTTTGCGTCATCTCACCAAAGCATGTCATCTCACCATAAAGTGTCATCTCACTCGAGTCAATCCCATATATATATATATATATACATATATATAATATATATGGGTTCGTCTCCAGTCAAATGACACTTTATGGTTCGATGATCAGATGACGTAAAGCTCACCACTGCACACTACAAAGCTTACTAACAGCAACTGCAAAGCTCACCAAACAATATGGCAAAGCTCACCTATTTTTTTCAACACTTTGTTTTTTTTTTCAAAAAATAATCAAAGAAGTGGACTTTGACCCATGTTGACTGGACTTTAACTGCTGACTGCCTCTATTGACCGCCGCCGCCAGTCGCCCTGACCGGTGGTTGACCGGTGTTGCTATTTTATTTTTAATTTAATTTTTTAATTTTAAAAGTTTAAAAAAGGGTGAGTTTTGGTGTTCAAAGTGGTGAGCTTTGCTTTAATTTCAGGTGAGCTTTGTAGTGTGCAGTGGTGAGCTTTGCTTTAATTTCAGGTGAGCTTTGTAGTGTGCAGTGGTGAGCTTTGTAGATCGAACCATAAGGTTTCATCTGAGTCGATCCACACCTTTTTTCCTAAATTTGCTAAATCCACACCCATTAATATAACTTTGACATTGGTGTGGGTTTAGCAAACTTAATTGAAAGGAGTGGATATAACCATTATTGGTGCGCTTCTTTTGATAGTGAAGTAGCAGTTAAGTCATCTGGAAACAACCGCTCTATGTTTTAAACCTAGGGGTCAGGCTGGGCACATCCGACCCTCCTCTACCCCGCATTGGACGGGAACCTTCAAGGCACTGGGGTAATGTTGTTGTAGTATTTTGTATACCATATCAGGCGGCTAAAATACAGAGTGTGAGAATGAAAAAACACGAAACAGAAACATAATACAAGTAAAGACATGAGAAACACACTTCACTGGCCACGGAGGGAGAGGCAGTGGGGAGCGATTCCTCATAATCCTTCAGAAGGTTTTCACTGAGACTCGGAGTCATTTCAGCCAGACTTTTCCTCTTTTGACATTCATCTGCTTCATCACTCTTTTCTATGTCTGATTGTCCTTCGTGTACATGGTGATCCAAATCATTGAATCTCACTATATAAACCTGGATAGAAGCTTTCACATTGTAAGCTGATGATAACTTGATAGAAATTCTGCATTCACAGAATTGGGAACCTTTTCACAAACCCCATTCAATGGTCAAAGGAATTCATTTTACTTTTGATTGGCATCAGTTTGTTTGCTCTGTATTCGGTGGATTTAACTCCACGTGGAGTTACTCCACCAAAGTTGGATTTGCAAATCAAAAAAGTTGAGAATGAGCTGTTTGAGGAGCACTACAACTATGGTACTGGTTTTAGGTTTCCACAATCCACTGCTCACCTCAATGGCTCAATTCTCAAATTTAAAAAAAGTGGACAAACAATTTAGTACCTGACAATTACAAAAAAGGTAAATAAACAATTTGAAGTACATTTGGTTAAGGAAGCTAAACATTCTTTACAGTGAGTGCAGCTCTCACATGCACACGGTGTTATGGAAGGCATGCAAAACAAGATTTCTTGATATTTTAAATGAGTGGTGAAATAGATCATTACCTTGAATTCATATTGATGCACCAATTGGAAGACAACTGCATCGCCCTCTTGCAAGTTATGGGCCCGTGAAAACGCTTTCCATCCCCCGCGAAGTTGTCTTCTACCTACTACAAAATTTATGTCATACTGCATGCCATCTTCACCCTCCAATATAACTGTAGCATCATTAGGGAGGTGCCTCCTACAAAAATCCCACGGAAGACCCTGCAATAATAGAGCTAACTTTTCTTGAGTTTGATGGTCAAAGGAGTTTCCCTCCAGCAAAAATTTACTGCCCTTACCACCCAAAACAATTTTGCGACGTGGGACCGGAGAAGGAACTTAATAAAGGAAGGAAATCCGGGGTCAAGACTGTCTCGAATGGCAATGGCTTTATCCTTTACACACGAACAGACCGCTGCAGATCTGTCCATACGTCCATCTCGAATTGCCCTTGATCTTTTACTGTTTTACATTTAAGAAAAAAGAAATACCAAAAAATTACTAAGGAAGTTTCTTCCATGCTCTGCTTTTATGGTTTGTAGCAAATCCACTGGAGTATTGACTAACCTAATGGTGCTTCCATTGGCGAGAGGAGTTCCCTACATCAAAATAGATTAAAGCCATATTTACTCACCAGCATCAAATTAGAATAAAAAAATAGTTTCAGTTAAAGATTTCGTAGTCTCAGAACATTAGAAGCCTAATCAATGTTAAAGTTCTTGTATTTTTTTTTCTCAACAGTTAGGGGCTGTTTGGCAACTTCTGAATCGGTAAGTGCTGAACCAGTAAGAGGTCTGAACCATTAAGAGCTAGTATATTGCTTAACTATTCAGAGGCAAATGTCTGATCAATTCAGATAAGAGGTCTTAACCATTCAGACTCTGTATAATACTTAACCATTCAGAGGCAAATCTCTTAACCATTCAGACATCTGAACCATTAAGAGGCTGAAACAAACAGTCTGAACCATTAAGTGCTGAACCATTCAGACATCTGAACCATTAAGAGGTTGAAACAAACAGCCCCTTAGTATGTTTCCTAGTTTCATTTCATCCAGATAATCCATTTTCATTCTTCTCTCTTTCTCTATTCTCATTAGACTCCCATTACATAGCAGGAGTGAGATCCGGGAAGGGTAATGAAGGCGTGACCTCAAGGTTACACCGCAACACCATAGCTGGCGTGCCGAGGCTCCCCTCTGAGACTTCAAAAAAAAAAACAAAGAAATCACAGAAATTGGGAAGGTGGTCAAGCTGATAGCTTCCGATGCGAATAACTACTAGCTAAGAAACGAAGATATCCCCAATTTCCATCAAAACCTAGATTCTAGATTCCAAACAAATGCAGAAAGTGTGCGAATGAAAAAGGAAACGGAATAAAAGTAAAAATACTCCGCACATGAGAAGGGAAGCAATATACTGACCATAGAGGGAGAAGCAGTGGAGAGGGCTTTGTCCATGAAACGCTTGAACATGGGCTCTAGCTCTCTACGGGGTCTTCTTCCTCTTCTTGCTTTGGTTCAGCGATCGTTTCAATCGGAGCCACCGGCTCAAGGAAACAATCCGCCGTTATATTTCTGTACTCCATCCGTCCGGCAAACGGGCTCCGTAAAACTTTTTACCTTTTGTTATTTAAATAAATGAAAATAAAAATCTTGGTTTTAGTTATACAAAAATATTATTTCTATACTTTATTAGTTTATTAAATTATAATAACTATTTACGAAGTGTGTAATATGAATATTTATATATAAAGTAAAAGTTACAATCAACAAAAAAAATATTTTGAATGTTTTGTACATTGGAGATTTTTTTATTTTGTTATCACTTGTTTATAAAAATAATGTAAAAAATTATTTTCTATATTGATAAGATAAATATATTTATATAAAAAAATAAATATTAAAGTATAAACATATTTGTATAAAAATTATATTTCAAATGTATGACAATTCTAGTCCTAGTCTACTTCTTATCTAGTCTTTCGAAAAAAACTCACCGCTCTAAGACTCGTCAGGTACGCCTTTCTCCAAGATTTAAGGATCAAATGAATCTAACTAATCCAAAATCAGACCAATCTCAAATATAACTTCCATCCGATTTTTTTCTTCAAATCTGAATCTATCTCGATCTATCTTTTCGGTCTTAATCCTTTCCTGCATCTCTAAGTATAGGCTATCCCATGCCAGCCAATAGTAAACAAAGACTTGCAAATTTGGGGGTTGGATTCCTATTTATAATCAAGTCCACCAGCCGACCTGGGGATATGGTGCATGTCTTCCTACAACACGTCGCTAATGGAGTATTACCTTACTTTAGAATTGCTTGAGTGCAAATGATGGGTTGTCAAGGATGCGAGCCATGCTCTACTTAACCGGTCTGAGTGATTGGAGACAACGGAGGTCAGGGTAGGAGATCGGCTACAATCCCTCTAGCAATCGATCGACGACTACCCACTATATGTTTGGCTCCCGATGAAAGGACCAAATAAATGGCTTTAATTCACCAAAACGTTATGAGATTATTGGAATGCAGAGTATTTAGAGAGACGAAGTTATTGACGATTCTTAAAGCTTGTTCTTTTCAACTTATTCTTAAGTATTGCTTGTTCTTATTATAATCAGAGATCAAATCAAAAACAACTTTACTCAGACCAGATCAAATTAAACTAGATCAGATCAGACCTTAACAAAATCAGATTACATCTAATCAAATCAGACGGAGAGAACAAGCCCTTACTCTAATAAGAATTCCATTCATTCTCCTTGCGTGATGCAAATGTATTTATAATTGATCTGGTCGTGTAGTCCAAGGCCAAAAGTATCTTTTGTCTAAGCCTACTTAGAAAATGGTCGAACCTTCAAGCTTGGGCGTGTAATCTAGCCCGGGTCTCCCCTCTAAGATTAACAAGGAAAGCTTACCAGAAGAGCACAAATTTTGCAAGTGATACCAAAATACATACACGAATGTGTGTGTGAAGCTTCAATTTTTACACATATTTTGCATATTTATAAAGTACACAAATGTCATCAATAATGCCTATATATATGTATATACTATACTAGAGAAGGCCTAGCAAAAATTCATTCATTGATTCTCCGCGATTTCTAACACTTGTCCCAAGCTTTACTTTCACTCTCGATCTCTTGACAAAATCTTCAGTTGGTGAGACCTTCTCAAGATGAGACAATAATATCTTAGCAAAATGCGTAACACTTTTTTCAATTGACACACTAATTATAAAGTATTGCGAATGTTGGTAAAAGTATTACCGTCCCATGGGAGACCAACCCTTTACCTGTTCTTCTTTTTTTGTAGCCTCAATGAATTGGTAATGTTAGACGACGACAAATGTTGTTTGAAAAGCCCCTAGCTGCAAGTGATAGTGTGATGGTCAGGCAAGATCGAAATTCCGGAGCAGGAGGCATTGTCTTTTAGGTGGTTGCTGAAATTGCTACCTAAAAAACGAACCGAATCAAAGTTATCTAACATTCTCATGCAATGACAGTAATACGGAGTGTATATATAGTACGGAGTACTTCTTAAACAAACAGTCTCACTACTTGGGTTTGGACCTTCTTCAAGCGCGAAATCTTCAACCTGATGCTTGGGCTGATCCAAAACAAGACAAGATTGCAATGCCCTCTCTCCTTGGCAAGCTCTGTCAAGATATGGCTCCACAAATGTTATTCTTTTGCGCTTGTGATTGTCTGTCCAATGCAATCAAATAATATAGCATCAATGAAGAAACCATTTGCCAACTTGGTTTGGCTCATTCGGCTTAGCAAGCAGCAGAATAAGTAGCAGATTTTGACTTTCATACTTGGTTAGCTGAAGTGATTGTTATCCAATGCTTTTTTCCTTCACCCATATTTCAAGTATATATGATCAGCAATCAGGTAAGGAGAATTTACTTAATAGAAGGGAAACAAAGTGGCTAACCGGGACTTGAGGCTTTCACATAATCATTCAAGTTCATGAGGGAAACAGCAGCGTCTACGACGTCCCGGCCATTTACCCTTACTATGTGTACCTATTAAAAAAATGGCTTCTCAATTCTCATGATCAGCCACAGATATGGGCTCCACGTATGGATGAGCCAAAATAACTTTGGGACGGGTTACCCTTAGTTTGCAAGGTCCAGTGAGGCAGAAGATCAGGAGATCTCCTTTAAGCAATCTGTGAGCGATTGAGAATGCTCTCCAGCCTGCACTCAACCCATGCCTCTCCGAAAGATACGAAGTTTTGTAGTCGTTTCCCCATTCATCCACCAACATGAGAGCAGAGTCGTGACTCGGTAAATACATATCAGAAAATGATTTTGGAAGATGCTGACATTGGAAAAAAGGGATTTGTGAGATGAGAAAATTACAAGACTCACTCTAACCCCACATGCTAAGCCACTAACTACTCTAGCGTCCGTTTGGAACCCGAAAAATGCTTGGGAAAGTGAATAAGAAGGGAGGTAGAAAGAAAGGAGATTTGAGATTTTAAAAAAAACATTTCCTTGGCATTTTCCCGTTTCCCTACAATTTCTTACAAGTTCAAAACACAACCTTAGGACAGGAGAAAGAGCATAGGATTACCAGCCAAAATCCATGGGAAACATTGGATGGAAGCATACACTTTATGAAGCTCGGGTATTCGTCATCTACACTTGACAGCACCCTCTCTGCTCGCTCAAAAGCAGAGAACTTAGCCTCAACATTATCATACATGTCATTGTATGTTGTGAGCCTTTTTTTCTTAGAGCTGCATATTGAATAGGGAATGAGAGAGATGTCTACTTTTCACAAAAGTGGTCTGATAACTACATGATGAAGTGCTAACCTCTCTGACTTTCTGAGAGCCTTCACAGATTTTACCTGCTCATAATGCAACCAATTTATCTTAGCTTTTTTGTATGATAAAAAAAATGGAAATAGAGAATCACACTCAAGCATAAAATAGAGCTTTGTAAAAGGGCGATGTTAAATCCACCCCCTAAATGGCTATATCCACACCAACAACAAACAACAACAACAACAACCCAGTTGAATCCCACTACAGTAGGGTCTGGGGAGGGTGTGTGTATGCAGACCTTGCCCCTACTCGGAAGTAGGGAGGCTGTTTCCAAAAGACCCCCGGCTCAACCTGCACAAAAATATGGAAGGGAACACAGTATAACACGGATAAAGCACCAAAATAGCTATATCCACACCATTCACATAAATTAATTTGCTAAATTCACACTAATATCAAACTTATGATAATGAGTGTGGATTTAGAAAATTTAGGCAAAAAGTGTGGATATAGTCATTTAGAGTGTGGATTTAGCAACACCCAGGCACGGAATAAACAAAACAAAAATGATTAAAAAGAACAACACGGTTGCGAGGGCCGAGAGCTCAGCACATCAGCTCAGTGTTCTTTCCTTATTGGGAGAAAAAATAAATATTAGGGCTCTAAGCTCTGCACTAATAAATAGTGAGCATTCCTAATCTGCAAAGCACAAATATTACACGCAGAGCTAGGAGTTCTAAGCATAAATCCAAGAAAAATCTATATGTGAACACAGAGATGCAATGAAATCAAAAGCACAACCACAGAGGCAACAAATCTATCAAGTGCGAATAGATCCACAGGCAAAAACACATATGAAAAAGTGAAGAGGAAAATCTAACATGTTTAACCTCAGATTTGACACTTTTAGCCTTCCTGCAAACCAGCTTCTTTCTGCTGCTCTCAAGTGGCATTTTCTTCTTGCTCTGCAAGCAAAATAATAAAAACAAAAATAAAAAAAAAACATGGAAAAGCTATTGTCTATAGAGGAAGACGAAAAGAGACCTTGGGAGAAACAGCTGTGGTGGGAGATTTGGAGTTGAAAGAGGAAGTGGGTTGTTCTTTCACATTGGCCGGTTTCTTGTTGTCCATTGCTGGCTGGCTGGCTGGCTGTCTTGCGGAATTTCTCTCTCTACAGAGTTACTTACTTTAGTCTGAAATGGAACATAATGTATGCATATTTCTGTACTCTCTCTCCCTAGAATAACCTTCCCTTTTCCATTTTTGATTAAGAACAGAAATTATTTTCAATTCAAATTATTTAATTAAAGATATATAAATAAAAAATAAAAATTATATATTTTAAAACTACATTAAAGTTTTACAAAATAAATGATGATATTTTTATATTATTCTATCAAATAACTAACAAAAATAAGTACATAAAGTAATTTAAATGTGACAATGTGAATAGAGGTATTAAATTTCAACTAAAAGAAAATGAAACCAAATATATGGAGTATATAAATAGAAAGGTCGATGGAGAATTGAGAAAACCACCCGCCAACTCATCGAGGCACATTTGTTCACTTAACCAAAATTTTTTTTTTAAAAAAATAATGCTAATAAATTTTGTATTCTCCCAAATAAAAACAACATTCCGAAATTTACTACCACTACAACTTTAACTATTACAACAATTTTATCTTCTTTTTTGGACTGTATAATGATTAAATACGGAGTACAACTCCTCACATTACACCACCATACATAAAACACCTAAACAATGAACAAAGAACCATATTTATGCAACTAAACAGAGCCTGAAACCAATGTGTTAATTCCTTGAAATGGCAGTAGATATATATACACACAACCGTACAGATTCCTGTTTCTTTGATCCCACAGTCACACAATAATAAGCAATTTCTACATATTATTATACAAAGATGCTTATAATTAGTACTATGCCCAACCCCCCAAGAATTTACCACCCACCTCTCTTTTATTCACATTCTCATTTCCCCTGGCTAGTTTGTGTTACTAGTTAGTGCCTCCTCCTGAGTGGTGCCTGTCAAAATCACCTCATAAAACCTTGGGGTTCGTTTGGCTGTGCTATTCTTAGGGTTCGTTTGGCTGTGCTATTCTTAGGGTTCGTTCATTCATTCACAACCTGGAGCGGAGAAGGCGGCACTTCTTGGTGGCACTTTGCAGAGATAGTTTTTTCTGGGGGGGAGAAGGGAACAACAGATGATGGTGGCGGTGGGTCTTTGAGGAACCAGAGAATTTAAGGTCCCAACCTTCGACGTTCTTTGGGACGCACGCGTCGAAAAGCATTTGGCCAAGAACACTGTGGGTGGCATTTACTGTACTCGCATTTGGGGTACCGTTATGCGGCAATTTGTCCGTTTTACCCTCCGCCCGGTGCAGCAACCGGGAGGAGCCAAGGTTTTGGGCCGGCAAGAAGAAATGGGCATTTGGGCCGAGCGCGACCCTTCTAAGACTTTCGTTGGAGTCAACTGCCGCATTTTGGAGGTCGCATATTAAGTCAGAAACATCATCGTGCATGCCCTCAAAAGCAGCCATTTGGTCCCCTAGCTTCTTGATTTTGTGGTTGAACACCCGGACAGCAAGGGCAAGCAGTTCTGTGACAGCAGCTTTGTATTGGATGGGATCACTATCCAAATGACCTGCACAAGGCAACCCACGTATGAACAGATAACATTGTGCTTGAGAATTAAATTGGGTCCAAAATGTATAATCATTGACCAAATAAGTAGAAATAGGGATGCATAATTGAAAGGCTAAATTGGGCATTTTACTAAAATAACGGTGCGCATCAATCAAATACACAACAGTATAGGTCAGTGATCCGTCATTATATGGAGTACTAACCAACATGAGAGGAGCTCTTCCACTTCAAAATTCTAACTGATCCCCCAGTATCTTGCAAATGCTGAGCAAATTTGGACACCGTTTGAAAAGGGACAAGATCGTCATTTTCAGAGCACAAAATGAGGAAAGGTGCCTCGAATCTCTGTAAAAAGAAAAGAAAAAAAGTAATTAGATTTGACAAAACGAAAACTGGCCAAAGGAATTCCCTAGATCATCATCAGGCTCTTGAAACTTACAACTGTGGAATAAAGAGAGCGCCAATATTCAGCATCCTGAGAACCAAATCTAGTGAGGAACAAAGCATCCAGTCCAGAGGTCAAACCTCTTGCTACCAAAGACACAAGCTTTGCAGAACCAGGCACTTTGTGAAGGGCAGACGGTAAAGCAAACCGGGCCCCGAAATCAGCCGCGAAGTCAACCGGACCGGAATCAAAAATATGACCGGATATGCAATTGGATACAATTCGGATCTCTTCCCCCTATGCAAAAGGGTTTCAATCACTGAGAATGGTCATCTTTCGATTCTCGGCTATTAAAAAAACAATTGAAAACGAATTGTAATGCATACTAGATTGAGTGGTGCTTCACAACCCCCTTCAATAATCTGCATCATATATGTAGCGAGTTAAGTACCAAATTTCATTGAAAATTATTTGCATGAGCAAAATTGGTTGGCCGGTTGATGCATTCACTATACCTGAACAAACTTATACATGCAGGCTTTCGAACCACCAGAGATTGCCACAAGTACTACTGGACATGGTCTGCACTTTAGCTCCTATATATAATAGTTTCAGACTATTAACTACTTCTTACTGTTATGCTGTTTAAGAAAAAACTTGTGATGTGAAAATAAACCAAGATCAAACCAAATTTTTGGGAATTCCTTCATTGACACAAATTTCACAAAAGACAAGAGAGAGAGAAGGTTGTCAATCTCAAATAACATAAAAATGCATGCTAGACTGCTAGAGTAAGCAACAGAGTGAGAAAAATTCTAACCTCAACAAGTTCGCAGACTAGAGAAAATGCAAGTGATGTAGCCCTCTCCGGGATATATCTGCACAAATCGTTCGACACTCACCAAATATTTATACACCAAGAAGAATCTAAAGAGTTCAAATTTCAGCACCAAGAAGAACCTAAAGAGTAAAAAGAGTGCAACAGTTTTACAACTACTACACATTGAACATTCAATATCAAGCAACTATACATGATGACAAATGTAAGTAACTCCTAACAAACAAGACAATAAGACACTTTCACGCTGTTTAAAAGGAAATCCGGAAAGAAAATCCACATATTCAACCGTAAATGTACATTGGAAACGTATGATGCGTTGAAATTCTAGATGAAAAGTGATTTTGGGGCAAAACCCAAATCAAATTACCTATTTGATTTCAATCCATCTCATTTTTCTTTGTTCCGCACACCCCATAACCAAACCATTGACTGCAACTCAATTGTGTTTTAGCAATAATCCGACCCAAGAAGGCTGGTCAATTATTGTTCCAATTAGTCAAAGCTTTTAGCATCATGATCATTTCCTCTAGAGATCAGTTGGAAGTTTTTAAGCGCAAGTTCTCATTGATTAACCCCAATGAAAATACAAAAAGATACGACATAGAATCTGAATCTACCATAAGAAACAATAAGTGATGCTTCTTCACACATAACCCACTAGATCAAAATATGGCTGGAGAAGATAATGAAGAGCTCACGGGTTAACGAAATCGGCAAAACAGACGAGAGAGCTCCATCCAAGAGAAGAGTAGAGATTGATGTACTTCTTCAAGTGGGTTTCTTGAACCGAAACCCAAGCGAATAACACCACAATCCCTTCGACTCTTCCTTCTGCAAGACTCTCCCTCTCGACCCAGAATACTCTGCCGCCGCCGCCGCCGCCCAACATCACAAAAAGCTTCGGTACCAGGAGGTGTGGGTCTTCAATCTGGTAGTGGATCAGGGCGCGTGAAGAGTGAGGCGTTGGGTTGAGGGGAAGAAGGGGGAGAGTAGGGTTGTAAAAAGAAACAATAATATTCGAAAAAATGAATACGAATACGAATATAAATATTTATTAGAATTCGAAAGAAAAATGAATACGAATACGAATATGAATGTATATGTATTCGATTCGATATGTTAATGAATATATTTGAATCTAAATATAGAAATTTATATCTAATACTTGGAGTATATGTTTGGCTCATAATACAAAGTCTACGTAGGGGCAAGATTGCCTACACACATCTTCTCCAGTCCCTAGTCTCGTTGGATCTAACTAGATTGTTGTTGTTATAGGCATGCCATTTTTAGTAGTCGATTAATTTTGAGAAAAAGACTAGAGTAAAATTAAATATTGAAAATAAACCAAAATAGGAGTTATATATTTTTATTCTCGAAATAAGAGTTAAAATGCATTTACAATGTTATTCATTACCATGTACATTACTAAAAAGTATTGTGAATTATTCATATGCAAACTCCATATTTTAAAGATAAAATATAGAGTTTATATTTTGACACTTTCTCCATATTTTACTCTTATTTGAGCTAATTTTTTTACTAGTTTTTGAAGCTATAAAACCTAAAAAATAAAAAATCATATTTCATAAAAGAATACGAATACGAATATTTGAATTTAATATCAAATCGAATACGAATAGTAATAATTATTCGAATAAAAAACGAATATGAATATGAATAATGCTATCATTTTTCAAATATGAATAAAATTTCACAATATTCGATTCGATTCGTTCGTTTTACAACCCTAGGGAGAGGGGTTCCGAATGGATGGATGTATGTGGCTGGTCTTGGAGGGTTGATCGTCGATTTGGAGAGATAGTCAAATCACGCATATGCCACCTCAGATCGTAGTCTCCCAAACTCGAGCGGTTAATTGCATTTTGGAGGTGTTGTCCAAACCACATTTGTAGACTTATTTTGCACCCCAAAACTTTGCACTAACATAAAATACAAATACCATATTCGTATATGCTAATGTTATATTTGCATTTTGGGTTGATGCAATACTTTGATATACAAAATTGTGTACAAGTAACATTATTATTTTTAGAATTGTATTGCTCTCACTCTTTTATATATATATATATATATATATATATATATATATATATATATATATACGATAAGTCTAAAATGACACCAGTGCTACTGGTGTCATTTGCTTACATCAGTTCGTTTGAAGTACCTACGATGCTCCGTTTGTAAAAACGACGGTTTCTACCCCCTAACTCTCCCCCTAAACCCCCCACCCCAGCCCCACCCTTGCTCATTTTTTAAGTAAATGAGCTCTCTAACTCTCCACCTTGAGTTTCTTTTTGTTGATATGTTTTTTGTTGGATCTAGGTGAGTTTAGTAAAGAGAAATTGGAGAATTTGACCATGATGGTCATATTTGAAGAGCATTCTGGCTAATGAGGCCTAAGGGATTGCTAATAGATTTTACTCTTGGATTTCATGGCGTGTGACAATACAACCTTTTTCACCATTTCTCACTTATGGAGTTTGCATTTCTCTACCCTTTCACTCAATGCTTAGTTTATGTTTGGAGACGTCCTGACGCTTTCTTTGCATGTGTGTGAAAGAGTATTATTACGTGCTTGTGAGAATTATTTTGAGATGTGCTTCATTGTTTAGTTGTTGTCATGTCATCTTGTTATTTGAGTTACAATGATTCCCTCCCACCACCCTTGTGCTTTAAGTGATTAGTATGTGCTTCTCACCTTCTTTACCCCCTTTTGTTTCATGTCTCTTGACATTGAGGATGCTATCTCGATCTAAGTGTGGCGGGAGTAGTCAAGACTTTTGTCTTTGGGCTTGTGTGCTAGCTCATGTTTAGTTTATGTCATATGGTGAATTTTGTATATGCTTGCGAATATTGGCTTAGAAATGTTCAAGAGTGCTTCTTGGATATTTTTATGTTGTGAAATAATCTCTTGAGAATCACCATTTTGACCCATAAGTGAAATCTCTTGAGAATCACAATTTCATCTTCATCCCATTTTCAATTCTCCCATTACCCTCACTTGCCCATATTACACATATTCTTACCCAAAAAGAATTCTTTGTGTTGATTTTGCTCGATGGAAAGTTTTGGTTGGGAATATTTTTAATGATGCGTGTTGATTAATTTTTGCTTTAGTTGAAACTTCATAGGCGTATGATTGCAAAGGGATGAACATGGCTTTGTCTCATATGCTACCTTATCATGCACACATTTCTATGCGGGAGGACTAATATTGCACCATTGTATAACACCGGTGGATATGTAATCTCATGTGTGTATGCTTTGGTAGCATCAACTCTTGTATTGCAATGCACATTTTACCCTTTTGGATATATTAAATAAATAAATTGAATAAGTGCATAATGGAGTGATGAGACATTTGGGCTTTTAGCTTGCATTCTTGGAGTATACCTCAATGAATGGTTGAGCTTCTAAACGTACCTTGTTTCACCCAAAAGGCATGAGCCATATATGATAGTCTCCTAAGGTGGTTTCCTTGAAACATGTGTTATAACTTTTCACTAACATTGACTTCTCTCTATAGTAGGTTAGTTAGCACTTTGGATTTCTTTCACCCACCCACAAAAGTCTTACCATCTTACTTTATCCGTCTTTTACTCTTCTCCGCCATCCAATAAAAAACCTCTTGATTGTTCCTAGAGGTTAGGTTGTGAGCGATTAACCATGAGTGAAACTATGATCAAAGGAGTGTTATCTTGTGAGCTCGTGTGGTTCTCCTGAGCTTTCATTTCATAAAGAACCATCTGTAAAGTTTTCTTCAATTGTATTGGTTGGTATTATGGGCATATACTTGATTCTTCCATTTTCATTTTTTCCATCATCTCCGATGGAGCCAAAATTTCACCATTTTTTGGCTTTGGGGTGTGATGGAATAAATCAAAATGGATCTCTAAACTGTCTGCGCTTCTTTAATTAATGAAGTAGCAGTTAGTCAAGCAATGCAACTTTCGACGTTGAGCCGGGGGTCTCTTTGGAAACAGCCTCTCTACTTTCGAGTAGGGGTAAGGTCTGCGTACACACACCCTCCCCAGACCCTACTCTTGTGAGATTTAACTGGGTTGTTGTTGTTGTTGTTGATTGCTTGAGGACAAACAATAACTTAAGTGTTAGGAAGTTGATAAGTCTGTTACTTATGCACGTGTTTGTATATTTTGTAAGACCTATTGACTTAGTTTTTAGATTAAATTACATATCATTGCTTAATATTATGGACTTTGGATTGAATTTTGGTGTTTGGGTGATTTTAGAGTCAAAATATAAGAAAAGGAATCAACTGTAAGCCTGTTTAAAATTCTAGGCTCAATCTACAATTTTAAAACTCAATTTAATATGTTTAATTGCAGATGGAATCTCCGTTGCCTGATTCGATTTTCTTGCCTGACGCAACCCGACCCGTGCCTCTCCACCACTTGCACAGCCAATCGTCAGTTACGAGCTTCGAGCCACAATGAAATCCAGTAGCGAGCCACTGACAACCACCTCAAGATATCTGACGATGGTGTGCATCCCTCCTTCTTGCGACGCTGACCCGACATGACATGTGAATCAAGGCCGTTGATATAACCGAGATGTCGGTATTTAATTACGTACAACGTATTAGTACAGTTTTGATTTTTTGTCTTAAATTTATAAATTTTGAACAAAAAAATTGTGTAATGTTTAATTTTTCTAGTCTGAAATATTACATTACGTCAATTCAAGGAAAAAAATAAAAACATATCATTAGTTGTTTTAATTTTCATAAAATACTCAAGTCATAAGATAGTATGTGTGGCCAAAAAATAATTTAGGTGTTTATTTAATTCTTAATTGAACGTTTCAAATTTTGAAAGAAAAAAAAAATATATGCATCTGGATATAATGTTATACCTTTGTTGGACAAATATTTTGAACATGTAATAATTTTGAGAGATCATGCGCACTCTTAAAAAATGGGAAAATGTTAGGGTGCCACCACATGGTTGCTACCATGGGTGCACCCATGTGGTGGCACCCTAGCATGGTCCTAAAAAATGAGATTGGTTTAACTTCTCATCCAAAAATTTCACTTTCCTTTTATATAAAAATACCCATATAAATTTATAATTTAAATACGAGCCGTGCAACACACAAGTGTGATACTAGTTTCTATTGTAGCTCATTCGACTTTCGAGTCAAATTTTTTGGTAGGATTAAATTCCATGAGTGCCCTTTAAAAATGGTTTTTTCCAGTTAAAATTCATGATACCCTATACAACAATAGTTGTACATTCAGAATACACACATCTTTATCCTTGATGAAATGACATCGCCGTGGTAATGTATATGGTCATGATTGGCACTGTAAATATATTTTAACTCTTATTTGGGGAATAAAAATGCGGAACTCTTATTTTAGTATACTTTTAATGTTTTACTCTTATTTTAGTCGTTTTGCTTTGAAAAAAATGGAATAATAGATCCAATGAGCCAGATAATTGAATAACCCACAGTTGATTACAAACTTCTTCGTATGATTTTACTAATATGAAAATTATAAATATTGTGCCCGTGAGCGTAGCACAACTGGTTGAGCAAGGTGTGCCAAAATGGGATAAACCCGAGTTTGATTCCTAGCAACTTAGAGACAACTATATTAAGTATATGTCATCTAAAAATGTCAGATTAAGGCTCCAATCTTTGTCAGCCAGTCTGTGATTATAACTCAATTTACCTTATCTCCAGTGGCGGAGCCAGGGGAGACTTCATGGGGGGGCAAAAATTCATTTAATAAATAAACAAAATACATAATAGTAAGTAGTAAGTATCTTAATTGGCAAATTGCAAGTAAACATTCCTTCTACTTGTGTAAAGGAGTAAGAGTTGTTTGAGGCCGTAGAAAATTTTTTCGAGATGCCAACTTTTGAAAGCGCTGCATAATAACTTCATCATCGATGCTCTTAAAAATTTCTTTCTCAAAGTAGCACAACAGACAATCTGATAAAAGCTCATCTCCCAAACGGTTGCGTAAATCAGTCTTGACAATATTCATCGCAGAAAAACTCCTTTCCACTGAAGCTGTCCCAACAGGTAATATCAATGCCAATTCTATAAGCCGATATACCAAAGGAAAATATGTGTGATAATTCATCCCCACCATCTTCTTTGCAAGACTTCCAAGATTGGATATGTTAGCAAAAACTTCATTCGATTTCATATCCGAAATGTAATTTTGAAGTTCATGAATAAGCTCAACTCGATCAGTAGAACTAAAATCTTCTGAGTATAATACAGCAAGTTCCAATAGCCGATCTTGATCAAAACTCGCAAAGCAATTAGAAGGATCAAGACACATTACACATCTTAGTAAATTTGTGTTTGTCTCTGTAAAGTGTCTATCCATTTCCACAGCAAGAGTATCAATCACCTAAAATCAAATAAAGAATAATTATAATAATAACAACTTATTTAGTATATTATGATATTAAAATACTTCCAAAAAGGATATCAACATTTAAAAATAATAAGAGTAATATACCTTTGCAAAGATCTCT